CTTTTTCAAAAATGTTCTATAAAGAACCATCTACAGCACGTTTTCCATCAGTCTGAAGAGCCCTTTCATGATGCAAAGAACCCTTTTATCATGCAAAGGGTTCTTTGAGTGTTCATGCTTCTGTATATAACCCTTGAAGAACCATCTTTTTAAGAGTGTGTGGTTTAGAACACCTGAAAAGAAAAAGGTTATACTTGTTAGGTTTATTTTGCTTTCTCATTGGGCTACATTTAAAAAAGATGGTTCTTTAAGGGTTCTCTAGTAAAGGGAATGGGTCTATTTAGAAACATGACTTCCTTACAGAACCAATTCATGTTTAAATGATTCTTTGCATGGTGAAATTGTTCTTTAGAGTGATGGATGTGTTGTATATGGTTCTTAATAGATCTATTTTGAGTATATTATTACTTTGTCAAGCTTGTAACAGTAGAAGAACCCTTTTGGAGCTATATAGAACCCTTAGAAAAAAATGTATAATATATATATATATATATATATATATATATATATATATATATATATATATATATAAACACATTCTCCATCAATCTGAAGAACGATTTTACCATTTAAAGGAAAATTTAAGCATGCAAATCTTTTTAAGAGTACAGGTACAGAGTGCAGATGAAAGAATCATGTACAAGTTGTGAGTTTCATGACTCCTCTGAGGAATGGAGGAGTATCTCAGAGGAGAAGGGAGTGAGGTGTGCAAAAAAAGGTAGAATATAACAAAGAGATAAAGATACTTGAAGCTACTCACTTAGAAAAGCTATGCGTAGTACATAAGGGGAGAGTCATTGTGCATAGAAACATCTCACTGATTGTGTCTGCAGTCACATGGCCATTACTATTATTAAACAAAACCTCCAGCCCAGACACATCCCTGCAACACAGAGCAACCATACAGTGCCTTTAAGCTGCTTGTCCCAATAACAATAATGTCGTATGACGGTTTTAAAAGCCACTGTTGTGGAAAATCTCGCCTCTGACAGAATGAGCTTTTATTTTTTAAGTGGGTGGTTCCACTGTTCCTTCATAACAGCCTGGTTGAACAGGTTTAGGTCTAAGTATGAGATAACATAATGCAAAAGGATATAATCATAGTTGTTGCTTGTGGTGTGGGCTTTAGTTTAATAGAGTGGACAAAGGGAAACTTTATTCAGTATCATTCTTGTTCTTCTCTCTCTGAGGACCATGTTATATAAACCTGACTGTTGTAGGTTTTAGAGAAATGAATCAAGATTAGAAAAAAAATGGTGTTTCAACTGATTATCTGTAAAGCATGGTTTATTTATAGTAGGCCAAACAATATTTATAATATGCAATATCAAAATCAAGATAATGGAATTTGGTACCACGAGGATTAAATTGTTTTATGAGCACCCATGATTATCCGTTTGAAACAAAGCCTATTTTGTTGTTTCAGTAATATAAGCATCAGTAAAATATACAATAGACAAAGCATTACAATTAATATTAATCCTTATTTTTGATCCTTTAAAAATCGTCTCGTTCATTTGTATCTGCATTAAGACATGAAATCAAAATTACAGCTAATAACAGAAGTGGCTCTTTCAGTGATTAGCTGATGAGATTACTATAAAAAATGTGCAATGAATATTTTAGTACTGGATTGATGAGTGGCTTCATACAGCTGTCACACATAAATCTTTAATTCAGTGACCAGGTAATGTCTCTATAGCTTACTCATCACACATAAATATGGTTCACAACAACAACAACAACAACAACAACAACAACAACAATAATAATAATAATAATAATAATAATAATAATAATAATAATAATATCAGACCTATACACATCTGCTCATAATCCTTAATTGTTTAATGTCTTATAATCTGTTTTATAATATAATGTATATAATGTATAATGTCTTATAATCTTTAGTAACATATAAAGACATACACACACACAAACAAACACACACACATATATATATATATATATATATATATATATATATATATATATATAATGTTGCTTTTGATATTGCATATTATAAATATTGCTTTGCCTACTATAAATAAACCACACTTTACAGATAATAATTTGAAACACCAGTATATATAATATATATATATATATATATATATATTATATATATATATACTACGTTTATTTATTATTTTAATCGGCCCGTATGAAATGTATAAATCGATATCTTTATGTAGCAGCATTGTTCTGTAGTTTATATCGCAGATATTTGCCATAATGCAATTACACGACAATAATATACAATAAAATCGTATTAATAACGGTTTCAACGTCGGTTCTGCAGGAAAGAGAGATATGCAAGAGAGTGCACAGGCATTATGTATGAATGTTTTCCCTCAGCTCTCACCTCCCTCACACACGCAGCAGAGCTGAGAGACCTGTTGAGTGTGGAGAGCTCTGAGGGCCTTTACTGTGGAGTAGAGACAGCCTACCCAACCCCGCTCCACACTCGCCGTTCATTCACGCCTAACAAGGTCGAGTTTATCCTGCTGCACCTTCACATCGCTGGTAGGAGTCGACTGGAGAGAAAGAGAAACTCTGCTGTGTTAACACGCCGCTGAGGAGCGCGGCTCGTCTGAATAACTGATCTGCACTGTGTTCAGTGGTGATGTGTTTCTTTAGCCTTCATATTCCTCTTACGTACCTTTCTTATATTAGAGTTTATGTAAGCTGGTCTGCTCCAGCTTACATTTAATTCAGTCTGTGAGCATCTCCATGTCCATACTAAAATGAATCTTTTAATAGTTAGCTGTTTTTTTTAATAAAGCCACCCTAAGCCAGCTAATCGCTGCTCACACACTCCCCAAAAAGCCATCGCTAATTCTGACTCCTAATCTGGACTACTGCTCGCTCATGACTAATTCAGTTTCTCTCTTTTTTAACACCGTTTTATTCTACCACACTTACTGGGGCTGCGTATTGTCTGAAGTGTCATTATAGGACGTGAGACACGTGGAGTAAAAGTATTGGTGCTGTGCAGTTCTTTGTTATGACAGAATATCATCATCCTGTAGATAAAAGGTCCCTAAAATAATTCCTGTGTGTATTTATTGATGCATATATGTATCTATATGTAGGTAGGTATGTATTAATGTGTATACGTAAGAAGCCAAGTTACATCATGTGGATACAAACCCAAGCTAATATTAGTGTATTAACACTATATAAAGACGTTATAACTAGATCCTGTACTAACCCATAAATGTCCACATATGAAATGTTACATTTGCTGTGGTCAGAATTTTTCGTGAGTTTCCTGACTACAAATCTGAAGACGTTTTTCCAGCCAATTAAACCGTATGGCTAAAAAGTGAGTTTATCATGCATTTATATAAATATTGAATTTAATTTTTTGGTCACACTGGATTACTGATTTTTAGCAAAGCAACAGATAATCCTAATTTTACTATGCGTTCAAATATAAAAGTACAACGAAAACAATCGAATGGGTACTGTCAAATGTTTATCCAAGATTTGGCCATCAGAAATGTCATCGTGTCATCACTTTTTACACGAAATGCCATGTTTACATTTTGGACATAAATGAGTTAAGCAGTCAGATTAAGCTAAATTGTTTATAATGACCGTGAACTTTTTTCTTCCAGAAACGTAACAGCAGCAGAAGGAGAGAGAGAGAGAGAGAGAGAGAGAGAGAGAGAGAGAGAGAGAGAGAGAGAGAGCGTGTCAGATATGCGAGTGTTTAAAAGGTGTTTTCCACATGTGCGACAGAGGCGAGTGAGAGCAGCGAGCTAATCCCGATGCTTCTCTACAGGGAACAAGATTAGAGCTTTAGTTTACAGCGATTAGCATTTCAACACCTGCGCATATTAAACTACTCTCAATCTCACACAGCAGCTCTGACAGACATCCACAGCTCCGGACTCTGACTGAACTTTTTGCCTGTTTGTTTTAAGAGGAGCTGCTGCGTTATGAGAGCTGCAGTAACGGTGCTGAGAGTGACCTCAGCAGTGAGTATGAATGTTTAATGTGCAGTCAGGCTGAGCTCTGAGGAGGAGGCCATTAAAGCGCTAAGCCTCAGGATAAACACACCATTAGGCCCGAGTGAATTCACTTGTTTGTGGCATTAATTACACGCTTTGTGCAAACAAAAAGCTCATGTGAAAGAATGTTAGTGGTCCGGGCTTTGGCAAACTCAGCTCCTTTCTGTCTTGTTTACATTTTAACCTTTTTTTGTTTGTTTACACTGATTGCTGGAAAGTTAAACAAAGTAAATTCCCCCAAATTAAGAAACGAATTACTTAGACCATTTCAGATAGTGCCTAAATGAAGAGACGGATGATTAATGAACTAATTTTTCATTTTGTTCATTTTTCCTGATTTCATATGTCTAATGTTTTCATAATAATGATTATTATAATAATTATTATTATTAATAATAATAATATTATTGTACTTGAAAGGAATCTGTTCTGAACTGTTTTTCTTCTGCACTAACATACAAATATCTCCTCATCAAAATATCTACAGCTCCACTAACTCAGTCAACACGCTCTTTTTTTTCCCCTTCGTTTTCGTTTCAGACAAACCTCCTCGCGCACCTCTGTAATCCTGCTGTAATGTTGTACGTGTGCGCGTGTGTTCCTGTAGTGCAAAGTGAGGCTGGCGCTGATTGGTGGGACCCGCAGGGAACCGTGTGGTCGCGCCAATAAGCAGCAGCCCCTCTGCGCGCCGCACACACCCACTCAGTGTGAGCTTCATATTGAACAGTGGTCGGCTCCTCTCCAGCACGCCTCACACTGATTGGCAGTGCGCGCGCTGACAAGTGCAGCACGACGGCGTTCAGTCCAATAGAAAAGCGAAACTCTGAACCCCCCACTTTCCAGCCGCTCCGCTCGAGTCCAGCGTGCTGATGGAGGCCGGATATCAGCACCACAGCCAGAGCTGCTGAAGAACCCGCGCGCTTCTTCTCCTACTTTTCTTCAACTCCTCTCTCTCTCGCTCTGTCTCTGTTTCTCTCTCCAATGGTGTTCCGTTCCCCTTTGGAGCTCTACCCGACTCCCCTGCTCGTACCGGGCTTCGCCGACGGCCCAGCGCTGCTGGCTGCCCGTGCGCGCTCCCCGGACGCGCGCGCCGCCGCGCTGCCCCCACCGCCGGCGCTGCCTGCGCTGAGCTTCACGGCCGAGCAGGTGGCGGGCGTGTGCGAGACCCTCGAGGAGACGGGCGACGTGGAGCGCTTGGGCCGCTTCCTCTGGTCGCTGCCCGTGGCGCCGCCGGGCGCGTGCGAGGCGCTGGACAAGCACGAGGCCATCCAGCGCGCGCGCGCCGTCGTCGCTTACCACACGGGCAGCTTCCGCGAGCTCTACCGCATCCTGGAGAGCCACCGCTTCACCAAGGAGTCGCACGGCAAGCTGCAGGCCATGTGGCTCGAGGCGCACTACCAGGAGGCGGAGAAGCTGCGCGGGAGGCCGCTCGGACCAGTCGACAAGTACCGCGTGCGCAAGAAGTTCCCGCTGCCGCGCACCATCTGGGACGGCGAGCAGAAGACGCACTGCTTCAAGGAGCGCACGCGCGGCCTGCTGCGAGAGTGGTACCTGCAGGACCCCTACCCCAACCCCAGCAAGAAGAGGGAGCTCGCGCAGGCCACGGGGCTCACGCCCACGCAGGTGGGCAACTGGTTCAAGAACAGGAGGCAGAGGGACCGCGCGGCTGCAGCTAAGAACAGGTCAGTTAGGACTAGTGTGGGAAAGAATAATGATAATAATGATGATAATGATAAAAATAATAATACTAATGGGGGGCAGATAAAAGGGGAAATACAACACGATTCATGCTGATGAATCTCTTAGAAAGTAAATAGCGTTTATTTTAAATGTAATGATTCTTTTAAACACTTAAAGCTGTTTTAACGCTTTTTCACAACGCCGGTAACACTGATGTGTTTGTGTTGTAGCTGTTCAGTCAGGTCAGATGAAAAAAGTCAGTTTCTTAAAAAATCAAATGAAACAAAGATGTAAATAACGATGTTGGCAAGATAAGAGAGTAAATCCAGCACGATCTGACACAAAGCCTTATTAGTCACCTTTGGGAAAAATTAGTGATTATTGAAATATTTTTTGGACGCTAAAACTGAAAGTATATATTTTTTAAAATGTAACATTATTGACACGTGGACCTGTGTGCTTGAGTCTGGTCAGTTATGAACAAATCCAGCATGGCCTACCTCGCGTCTTTAAATAAAAAAACAGTTATTAAACTGTTTTTTGGACCTTGTTTTAACCCAGCGCCGTCAATCATGTGGATCTGTGTTGTGTACAGTCGCATCATGTGTAACGATATATTTCAAAATAGAAAAAAAATAAATAACAAACACCTCAAACTCCACAGTCTTTAAAAAAATGTGCAGCACGTGGAAAGGATAAGAGGGAAAATCTATTATAATCTACCTTCCGGCTGTATTAGTCGCATTTAGGACAAATGAGCGGTTAATATAAGATGTTTTTTAGGCTTCTATTAAAAAAGTGAAGTTCTTTTTTTAAAACTATTTTAAGACTACTCATCATTTAGCTGTTTTTGTGTTATATTTAATTAGCTACGTGTTCAAAAGCACAGTTTATTTAAAAACGCTTCTAAAGTGTATGATATGAGAGATTAATCCTGAGCTGCCTCAGACTCTGTGAGGTCTCTCTTAATTCTCTGTTAGACACTATGAGGGAAAATGACAGTAAATGATTTTTGGGAGCTCGTTCTAAAATCTGAAGATGGTGAATTAAAGTTTACGGTAAAATCTGTTGAGGAGCGAACTTTCTTTTTTAAGAACGCTATTTACGCTGATCATGTGGGCATTGTTTATATTTCATTTATTCAGATAAGATATACAGCACATCATGAAGTGATGCGGAAAATAAAAGAGCAAAACCAAAACAAGAAAACTTTTAATGTTGATCAGTATGTGGATGATATTAGGGTTATATTTAGTCTATTACATCTCACTTACAGGCTTTTTAAATGAGTTTTAATGAGATTCTAATGTGCAAAGTATAACATACAAATGAAAAGTATAATGAGTATGTTAATCACTTTCAATGCCTCATTTCCAAGAAAATACTGGAACTTTTCCTACGTTCGCATAATAATAAGAAAATAAGGAAAATGGATAACAGTGGGTATATATTTTAGTTTGTTGCATTATTATTATTATTATTATTATTATTATTATTATTATTATGAGCACTTTTCGAAATTTTATTTGTTTTATTTGTTTGCAACATTATTCTCAGTTTCAACAACAGTGAGGAGCAGATTTTTATTATGTGAGTGTAACAGTGAAATAACTCCACTCATATTCATTAATTATATTAGTAATATTATTTTATTGGAGCCCTATTACTGACACTGAAAATTAAAAAGTCAGTTTTGCTGTTGTGTAGAGACCTGATCTGTGTCAATAATGCCTGCCATTTTTACATTTCGACTGCATGTTTAGTTCACTTTCACAACAAAACTCTCATTTCTCCAGCAGTTTGTCAGCTGTTATCTGCTGCAAAACTGCATGAAATGTTCAGTGTTGTGTTCAGTATAAATGTTCCTTGTAAATGTTCAGTATAGATGTCCAGTATAAACGTTCAATATAAATGTCCAATACAAATATTCAGTATACATATCTAGTATAAATGTCCAGTTTAAATGATCACTATAAATGATCAGTATAGATATTCAATATATATATCCACTATAAATATCCAGTACAAATGATAAATGTCCAGTTTAAATGTTCAGTGTAAACGTTAAGTATGAATGTTCAATGTAAATATCCAGTATAAACATCCGGTATAAATATTCCGCATAAATGTTCAGTGTAAATGATAATTATAAATGTGAAGTTTTATTGTTCAGTATAAACGTTAAGTATAAATGTTCAATGTAAACATACAGTGGTAATGTTCGGTATTAATGTTCAGTGTAAACGTTAAGTATAAATGTTCAGTATTAATGCTCAGTATTAATGTTCGGTATTAATGTTCAGAATTAATCTTCAGTGTAAACGTAAGTATAAATGTTCAGGGTAAATATACAGTATTAATGCTCAGTATAAATGTTCAGTATAAATATTCAGTGTAAATGTTCAGTAAAGGTGCTGAATGCTGATGTGTGTCTCTCTGTTGTTATCATTTCCAGGCTGCAGCACCACGGCTTATCGCAGAGCGGTCTGCGGGGTCTGTCCGACCCGAACCCGGGTCCTGCAGAAGCCGCGAGCCCCAGCGCGAGCGTGTCCAGCAGCGCGGAGCGCGCGGACGGCGCCACCGTGCTCTCCGTTACGGACAGTGACTCGGACTTCGACGTATGATGCCAAGCGCGCGCGGGGAAATAATACTGGACCTGCAAACATTCAAACAAACAAACAAACAGACAGACAGACAAACAAAAACAAAAAGGGCCACATGGGTACAGCAGGGGTGTGCGCGCTCACTGCTGTTGCTCAGATGGAGGAACTGCGCGCGCTGGCTTTTCCAAGGACTCGCGCTCGCCCCTCTCTCTCTTTCATCTCCGGTCAGTTTTATTTTTACTGCATGTTCGTTTGTGAATATTTTTGGGACGTTTTTTGAAGAGGCACTATGAGGACGGAGCGGGAGAGTCTCGGGCTCTCCTCTGCTCCCTCCATCCCCCTGTCTGAAAGCCGCAAAGCGGACACTTCTCCTCCCTTCCTCCATCTCTCTCTCTTCCTTTCTCTCTCTCTCTCTCTCTCTCTCTCTCTCTCTCTCTCTCTCTCTCTCTCTCACTCACTCTCTCTCTGTCTCTCTCTCTGTATCCTGCAGACAATCGTGGAAGTCAAAAAGCACCTTTACTCCTCTTCTTTGACTCGACGGCAGATGTTCAAAGTTGGACTTTATCTTCAGATTTTCTATTGAATGCTCAATGTCTAATGCGTTTTTACCACCCTCTCTCTCTCTCTCTCTCTCTCTCTCTCTCTCTCTCTCTCTCTCTCTCTCTCTCTCTTTTTCTCTCTCTCTCTCTCTCTCGGCTCTGTGTGCTCGTGTAATCCTGCAGCTAGGCCATCCTGCAAAACTGCCTCCCTTACTTTGTGTCCATAAGATGTCTAAGTGTCTGTAAAGTGCTTTGAGATTTTTAATGTCTGTTCATTGGTTGATTTTATACTGTAAATGACGCTGAAAACGCGGTGTGATGGGTCACTTTTATGCAAATAAATATAATTTAATATAATAAGTCTATTAATGTCTTTCCTCGTGATTGTGCTGAGTGGTCAGGTTTTCTCAAAAGCAAGCGCGAGCTCTGACGTAGAAAAATTAAGTATTGTGTACTTATACACTCTCAGAAACAAGGTATGAAACTGTCACTGGGGCAGTACCCCTCTTGTCACTGGGGTGGTACCCTCAAGGGTACATCTCAGTACCTTTAGTCAGGGAACATAACTGTACCATAATCCTTTGAAATTATGTCTTATAAGTTGTAAGTAGCTTCTAACTTCTAAGGCTTTTTATTTTATTGTTCTATTTTAAAACATTAGGTTATGAAAGGTACAAATACATACTTTTCACCTGGAAAAAAATACCTTTAGTATCTTTATAGCTTTGAGGGTACATTTACATTGTTGTACATTTGAAGGTACGTTTACATTGTTTGTACCTTGATGAAGGAATAACATACCTGCACAGAACCTTTATTTCTAACAGTGCACTATTTCCTCTTCTGTCATGTACACATATTCATAGATTAATATAATAATCTATACTTTTATTGTTCTCAATTTAATACTTTCAGTTTCAACCACATCAATAATTTTAGACGACGAAGAGCTCCATTATTACTATCATTATTATTTCCACAGTTATTAAAATGTTTATTTATCACTTATTTACGTTATTTTTTTTTTATTTGTTTTTTGATTTCTCTGAAATTTTGAGATTTTTGTCCTGTACGATTAACAAAGCTCACGCGAGACTGTTTCTATATGAATTATGACATTTCTTCTTTTCTTCTTCTTCTTCTTCTTATTATTATTATTTTTATTATTATTGTTGTTGTTAAAATGTATCTTCTTCGACATTATATTTGAAGTAGAACGTCCTTATTAAATTGCTCTTTATAATGTATAAACAACATCCTGAGAATTGAAATATGACTATAAACCCATAGTCATAACAGTTTACATAACTATAAATTTCCACTCAATAGCTAATAATAATGATATTTGAGAGGCAGCTCCTTTGTAATTCACGTTTTCTCACGGATATAAATAATTCGATTGATGAAAAAAATAAATAAACAAAATCAAGTAAAATACACTTCCTGTTATTATAAATACACGGTACAAATTATTTAAGTTGTATTTTCGAACTTTTCGTCTTTTATCACGCCCGACAGAGTGTTCAGATATCAAAATAACTCATAACTTGTGAATCACAGCAGTATTCAATGTGGTCACTGACTTCATCGAGTTAAAACACTTTATTTATAACGTCATTATTTTATATTTGTGCTACTATTATAATGTATTGCCACGCGTTGGCCTAAAAGTGGAAGCAATGACATGCTGAATTGTTTAAATGTGTTGGTGGGCTCTTTCAACGGTGCATTCAACACAACCATGTTTCTGAACAACATTGACTTTTCAAGTTTTTGAGCTTAAACTCTATACTTATATACTTATACATATGTATATATATATGAGTATATAAGTATATATATATTATATACTTATATAATGATACTTATCGTTATCATTTCCATAGATAAATTCATATTTCCTCACTGCCAGTATGACATGTTGAATCGCACAGACGTAGAGAGTTAAACGCTAAACTGCTGTTATTTGCTCTTATATTCTCCAGTAGGACCGTAGAGTTTCTCTACTGTGTAAAGTGACTTTTACTGGAAGAAACATAAGAAAATGGATATTAAACAGCACAATACGTAACTTGGTATTCTATTTGGGTTGCGACTATGGAATATTCCGTTTGTACAGTATGTACATAAAAACGATTTAAATATCTCAGTACATATGCCACCTGTCCGAAAAAAGGTAGTGTGCAGGTATTTCTGTTCACCAAGATCCAAACAGTGTGAATGTACCCTCAAAGGTATAACAATGGTCCAATTGTACCTATCTGCATATATGAATATATGCATATATATATATATATATATATATATATATATATATATATATATATATATATATCAGAAAAAAATGGTGCAGTTATGTTCCCTAATTAAAGTTACTAAAGACAGGTCCACCCCAGTGACAGTTTAGTACCTTTTTCCTGAGGCTGTGTGAAAAAAATTAACAAAAACATTAATTATTTTCATGTAATATCCAAGTTCTAAACCCAAATTTCCATCTTTGTCCATTCATCAAGCCCACATCAGGCTCAGTGACCACAGGATTGTGTGTTTGGCCTGTTGTGGCCTGCTTTCCTTTTCTGCCTCCCTCTCTCTCCCCAACTTCTCTCTCTGTGTTCATCCAGGCGCAGCTCCTTCTGACCTGGATTCACCGCCTAGACCACAAACACAGCACCTTTCAGCAAATTCACCCACAGCACCGGCTCACCCGCACTCAGACAGGCTGCTGCAGTAGCCTCATGAGCAGAAGATGAATGTTCACAGACAGGCCTTGTTCTCTGGTCCTATTTTAATCCATTTAATGTATATTTCACAGCCTGTCTGCTGCCTAACACCTAGTAGGTTTGGTGTAATTCTATTAAAAGAGCACCAGTAGGGTCAGGCCCGGGCTTACAGGATGAGCAGCTGTGTAAAGCCAGACCTCTGGACTTTAATTTGTGTCTGTTGGCAGAGGAGCACTGTCCAGCTGTCCAGCACTTGGCTGCAGATGAACACTGACTTCCACTGAGCATTAATGATGGCAGCACCGAGCGTCACTACTGATGTACACAGACTATACTAATATTCAAATGATCAGTCATTATTACAGTAACAACAGTGTTGTTATTGTTTCTGTTCATAGGATTGACACTGTGGTGACCAACTTTATCTTCCTCTTGCAGCTTTTAACTTCCTGCTGAGTTTAACTCAACACAAAATCCAGCTGAACCTGATTCAGATGATGAACATTTTTAGAAGACACCAACTCAATAACATGTGGCACACTTGGGTTACCCCTGTAGTGCTCTAAGAGTTTAGTTACAGTAATTGGTTATTTTAATGTTGGTTTGTGTTATACTGGTATTTACGTATCAGAGGTAAATAAACTGTATAACCTGACAATGCTATTAATATTAATATTAATATTAATAATATCATATAATTCACAATATAATCATATAAATACTTATTAACTATAACAGGCTACAGAAAATGCTACAGCACTCAACATGATCAGTGAACAAATCTTGGAATCTCCCATGAGTAATGTGATTTAAAAAAATAGGAGATTATTCTTTTTAGTAGTAACACAAGAAATGACACTATGTGTTTAAGTGCTTTCCTAATTATCTATCTATCTATCTATCTATCTATCTATCTATCTATCTATCTATCTATCTATCTATGTGTGTGTGTGTGTGTGTGTGTGTGTGTGTGTGTGTGTGTGTGTGTGTGTGTGTGTGTGTGTGTGTGTGTGTGTGTTGACTTTAAACATGGGAAAATACCTTAAGAAAGAAAGAAAAAAAAAGAAACCTCGATGGACGGTTAATCTTGCTCTCTAAATTATGTGCGTTTGTCTCCACCTTGTGGTAAACATGTGAAATTGCTCGTAGAACATTCAGGGCTCCTCTTTAAAAATAAAACTGCTGTTGAAGTAGTGTACACAGGTCATAGAGTTCCAAATCACCATAAAAACACAAGCGCACCATAAGCTTCACAGTATATTTAATCTAGTTTAGATTATTTAACTTAGTCTCTTGTCTCATTGTGTAGCTTGAGTTGTCAATAATGCAAGTGCACTAACAAATCTCTTCTCTAAACAGTCTTTCAGCAAATCTTTCATCCATAATGCCCAATGCGCAACTGCATACTTACAACTACGATGCAAATTCATAAACCACTTCAATCAATATGATAACACCTGGGCTACAGTTCACAAACATGCTGAAATTACATGCAACTTCAGAAGTTAGAAGTGAGGAGCAACACGACAGAAATGTTTCTGGAAGGACGGAAAATCCATGATGGAAATAAGACCACAGAGACTTACATTACAGTAAATTAATGATGACTTTGGCTGGCCTAATATGTCATAGCTGTGCTGCGCCACTTTTTACCACCATCTTCAACAAATCACTGGAACTTTTCTCTGTTCACATGTGTTTCAAACATCTATGATCATTCCTATCCCCAAAAAAATAAACATTACTGGACTAAATGAATAAAGGCCAGTAGCCCTGACCTCTGTAGTCATTAAGGTCTTTGAATGCCTGGTCCTAGACCACCTGAAGGCCATTACAAACCCTCTGCTGGATCACCCACAGTTTGCATACAGAGCTAATAGGTCTGTTGACGACACAGTCAACTTGTCCTTGCACTTCATGCAAC